TGTTCTAGATCTTATATTCAGCAGGGTAACTACCCAAAGAAGCCCCTATAAAATCTGAGCACTGTAAACTATTCAAGATTACCCTTTAAAGGAATTATCTTGGATCTCCTAAAGACAGAACTTTACTCAAGGCATGTCTTTGCATGTTAAAAAAAAACAACCAAATAAATAAATACTCCAAAACAACAACAAATTAGGCTTCTGAGATTCCCCCAAAGCAGGATTTTTGCACCAGAATCACTCAGGCTTAACTCATGATCTTTACATAAAAATTATATTACTGACAAAACGCTCTTGATCCTCATCAAATCTTTATTTTCCTAACTCACTCTGTTACATTTGTCCTCATCCAAAAGGTCTATTTGTATGTTGTCCAAAGGCAGGAAGAGTGTTTTGTGTTTTTTTTGGTTCCTTGCAGCACATAATAAGAGCCCAAATCTTTTCATAAAGAAAGCTAGTTTGCTGTGGTTCAGGCTCCGCCCACACAGACCAGCCACCTGCAGTGCTAAAGACATCAGAGATGGGCAGGCTTCTGGGCTGCCTATCAAATGTTCTCTCATTTAAAACGAACAAAACTGCAATGCCAACAGCATAATTAGACAGATCTAAGCTGCAGTGATTGCAGAGGCTCAGGAAAATCTGCCAACCCCTTTTATATCTGGAATCTGGGCAAGGTGATAGGCAGTGAGTCCTGGAAAAATCTTTATCAGCCCACAGTCCAGCTTTGCATTAGTGACACTGCCCCTAACTAAAAAACCATAGGAATTTGATGAACATGTCTAAAATTTTAATAATGTAAGGCATTACATGAGAAAGGGGCATGCAATAGCATATCATAGACGTAATGGTCTATGCATTTGTTTTGTTCAAAGCATTTTCACATGTACCATCACCTTTGGTCCTTATGACATACCATGAGGCAGAGAGGGCAGGTATCACAGCCTACATTCTAGAGATGAAGTNAGAGAGAGAGAGAGAGAGAGAGAGAGAGAGAGAGAGAGAGAATGAATGAGAATGGTGGATGGTGGTATATGGGAGAGTTTAGGTGGCAGTTCCCAAGCAGGGTGAGAGCACAGGTTAGAGAAATTATAGAAGTTCTACTCCAGCCTTGCCCTCAAGGGTCAACGGACAATTAATTTCCCCTCCCTCAGAAATCAGCTGCAACAGGCCAAACCACAGGTGCTGGCGTTCTTGGGGTAATATCAGGGACACTCAGAGTCCTGTTTGGTTGAGGGGATGATGAAAGTAGGTGCTGCCTGGCCAGCTGCCCTTTGGTATTCACTTCTCAGTGCATTCCACCTTAAAACACAGGCTGGTAGATTATAACCAAGGAGGAGTGCCCCCTCCCAGTTCTCCTGTGTTATAAGCAGGCTTAAACATGCAACTCCCAGCAGGAAAGTCCTCTGGAAGAGTGGCAGCACACAGTGATGCTTGGGAAACGCTGTCCTCTCCTCCCTGGAAACTCACCAGGGCTGAAGCCTAGAGCCTGGCCTCTGACCCTTATGCAAAGCGGTTGATACCTTCAGAGGACAAGCACCCACAGGCCAAAGTAATGGAATATCTGGGGAAGCAAGCAGCTCCCCCCAAATCCAAACTAGGCAACATATACCTTCAGACATTCTGTTACAGCAGACCAAGATTTAAAATAAGCATAAAACTATGCTTAAGGAGATACAGGAAGGAAGATGCAAGCCTGAAGCTACGGCCGTCAGCAGCCACCCTCCCCACCATGGCAGGAAACCTGTCTGCCGAGTGAGCATGTAGACAGGTGGTCAGAGACTTACCTGGGGCCTGGAGGACCAGTTCTAGGCCATGAAGCCTGTGCGCTCAGATACTGTGAGCTACTGCAGTGTCTTTTCCAGCATAATGAGCCAATAAGTCCATTATTGCTTAAGTCAGAGTTGGGTGTCTGAGGGTCTGGGCACACACGTCCAGGAGAACAGCCATTGAATATGTTGTACCCAGGCTCCGATCTGATTCCTAGGTACCCTCAGTCCCATGAAATCAATCTCACATTTCTAAATACACTTTTCTAAGTGAAACTCTGTAGAACTTCAGTTCGGTCACTCTAAGGCTGTTTGGCCTTCATTTTACTGTTTCTAGGTAAGATCAATCCTAACATTCAGAATCTAAACATCTTGCGATGCAGTACGGAAAATCCCTTTTTGCCATTGGATAAACCAAAGTCGAGCTACTTGCTGCTGTGTGACCATGGATGAGTGATGTTTACTTCTCAATCCCTGAGTAAGGTGGGAATAATAACATCTAGCTTGAAGTTGCTGTGAGAATTAGAAATAATAAAGGTAGGTTGTCTAGCTATTTTTTATAG